GTGAACTATTCCTGTGACTTTATAAGATCTTTTTCTCCCTACTTTCTGCATGCCTTCGTGGTGTAACGCTAGCAAACTCGGCGCGTATTCGAGATGTCTACGTTCGAGTCCCGGCGAGGGCACTGCACATTTTCCACGTCTCTTTCTTCAAAATAACGTAATGACCCTACAGTGGCGCCCGAACTAAAAGGTAGTGGATGATGATTCTTTAGCACCAGGGTTTGGGGATTGCATCCCCTAATCCCCAGTCACCCTGGGTATTTTCTCTCTCCTTTCTGCATGCCTTCGTGGTGTAACGGGTAGCACACTCGGCGCGTATTCGAGAGGTCCAGGTTCGAGTCCCGGTGGGGGCACTGCACATTTTGCATGTCACCAGCTTCAAAATAACCTAATGACTAATCCGTGCTCACAGACAGGGACCGTAGCTAGAGGGGGGCATCTGTCCCCAGGCGCAGAATCCAAGGGGAGCCAAACTGATATTACGATATTTTGGAATTAAATGTTTTCCATCCTTGGCAAGCAGTAGGGGGCGCGAAACCTTCAGTTGTCCCTGGGCGCTGAAAACCCTAGCTACGACTCTGCTCACAGAATAGTTTAACGCGCAGGAAAGGCTCTGGTTTGTAGAAAAACCGGTAAGACAAGACGAATGGCTAGAATCACTCAACGCCACAGAATCAAATCGCTAAGTAATCACAGCACAACCTGGCCTGAACTAGGCAGACACGCTCTAATACTAACTTCCGAAACTCTTGCTTAAATGGTACTTCTTTCAACCTCAATCTGAATAAACGCTCGCAATATTATTTACATTCTGACATGAAAAGCGTGAGTGAAAAGAGAGTTATAGGTAAGTACTAAAAGTTAACTATTAGTTAAAAATAAAGAGATAAACCTCACAACCTATTGAGTTATTTGATAGTTAAGCATAGCAGAGCTGTCAGTCGGTCTTAACACTGAAGTAACGGTAAATCTCAAAAGGTTACATTTTTTTTACAAATAGCATTTATTTTTAAAACAAGGATATGAAAAGAGGAACAAAAATAAAACAACATTGAAATAGCTACAAATATGTTAAAAATTTTCTACTTCACATATTTGAGTATTCATATATCATAAATACAACATACGAGTTATTTCGAACATTTCCTACTTCTAATAACAGCTGTTCTGAATAAGAAATTTTATATGTCAGTTTAATTTGATTTTAAAAAAAAAGTACTACAATAAATGATGCAAAAAATCCATTGCGGAATTCGAACGAACTGCTAGCATGCCTCAAATATAGATCAAAGAAAGTGTATTACGGAATAAAAGAGAAACTGTACCACTCACTGCATTGTGACCTACCTCTGTGAGCCATGGAGGGAGGGGGTAACATAGAAAAGCACTTTTTAAAAGGAAATGAATTACCAGCGAGAAAGGTAGCTCTTCTGCAACTGTTTGGGGTGGTGCTTCAAGGAACGCCTCTAAGCATCTTGCCTACCATCATCACATCCATCAAGAAAAGAGAAACGAACAAATGCTTATATTGGCGCCACTTCTATTGTTCAGTAAGGTAAGCTGGTCTGCGATAACGGAAAAACCTCAATAGTCAAGCTCGTCTAAAGACCATTTTCACGTGGGTCGTCATGGCCTTTGACTTGGAAGCTGTATGGTGGAAGTTCGACGAAGACGGTTCAAAATATGTGTGTAGAGCGGTCTTCTGGAGCGTGCTAATCATTTTAGACAAGTTAGGGCCTGAGTAAAAGGAGGAGGGCTCTAGGAAAATGCAAGTAATGGTATTACTAAGAAGAAATGAGATAAGATAGGATCAAAGCTTTGAACCAGTCACGTAAATGATTCGTCATTTAGCTTATTTTGTCCCATTGTCAGAGTCTCAGTGACTAAAATCACAGTGATTCATCCATGTAGCATGATCCATTTTATCCTTTCCTACTGAAGAAGAAAATTACACTTACTGCATCAGTTTCAGCTTATTTTTATAATTAAAGACGAGGCCTAATTTAACGTATATGAGCGAAAGAGCTAATTTTTACTAATTGTATTCTTGAAACATAAATTGTTGGGAAAGCAATATATACAATCAAAAACTTTTCCACTTCATAATGTACATCGTGTTTATATTGAATTAAAAAAAATAGTTAGTTTAATCATAGTGCCCAATAAAAGATAATTTCCAACACTCCCTGGGACATTTTTCAACAGAACTTTGATTTCATTTCCTTTTTCCATTTTCCTCTTGAATCATTTAATTTTTCCAATCAATTCATGTCTCAGATTTTGACAAGATATGAGGTCATCTGAGTATGGCAATGCACATGAAGGCAACCTGTCTAGGGAAATGAATGCCTTCATGGAGATCTTTCGACGGGAAACTGGCTCGCATTCACGTTATACGTGAGAAAAATAAATCAAGACGCCAGCATGTTTTCCTGGTTTCAAATTCAATTCGAACTAACAGTACTCAGCTGTCTTAACCACTCGGTCGCAGGCCCAACAGCGGCCGAGCGGTAAAAGCCCTTAAAAAGTCCTCCGTGGAGCGTAGCTCCTTCCCTGTGTAGTGCCTAATGGCGGAGCACACAATAAATAAATAAAATGGAGCCGAGAAGATATGAGACAATGTCAAAGGTTAAATTTCATTATCTATCTCCCTAAACTACTCTATTCTGAGAGACGCATTTTATTTAAAAAATAATGCTTTTGCTCGAAGTGTTATCTTGGACTTCGTCAGTGCCTGTAGTAGTTTTAAGTGAATATCAATAATTTCATCAATTTATTTGGCAGCACTTTGGTTTTCTTTTCTAATTAAGAGAATCTACAGAAACAGATAACTAATTCTCCGGTGTTATAAACCACGTTTTTAGTTACTTATAAACTTACAAATTCAGCGAATAATAGCATTATTTAAAGATTCAGAATATTTTTAAACCGTCTAATAACATTCGTTAGTTGTGAATCCAAATTATCAATGTTGTAAAAAACGGCCTTTTTCAATGAAAGCCTAGTTTTCAACAAAAGTTACGCTGTAAAAAAATTTGTGGAAATTTCATTTTCTTTTACAATTAGCAATTCTGTAATTACTAAATTTTAAAGCATTTCTTCCAACATCAAGATAGAACTCTTTTTATAAATACCTAAAGTTTAAACTCAAAAATGGCCCAAAACAATGCTAAATATTAAAATAACCTAAACACAAGCTATAGCTTCCCATCCTAAAACAAATAAATCAGGGCTGTCCAATTTTTCGTCAGCGTGAATTACTATGTTTATTGTAGGCGATCTGCTAGTTCGAGAAGAAAATATAAAATCTTATATTAGAAAAGAAGAATGTGCGTGTCATGGACGCAGTGTTATAAATGTTGCCACACTGTTTTATATTCGCTATACTATTTATATTTGGGATGTAAACTAATGAAGCTATCCGAATGATATGCCCTGCATATATTCACCTCTAAAAATTATTACTGCTTGGATTTGTAAAAAAGCTTCCGAGTATTTATATATTTTATTTTTGGTGGTGTTCTGACATGTTTATTCACAAAGTTTATACGAACTGTTAACACACAAAAGTACTAATTCAATACCTGAGAACATTGGAAAATATCAAAGTATTTAAAGTAATTGTTCTTTGCCTTGAACCTGTGAATGGCAACAATTTGTAAAGCAATTTGAAATGAGTTTGAAAGGTTCGAAATTTTTATTTTGAAAACAGGTGAGATGTCATTTTTATACATTTAAAGTTGTGATTTTTGAGATTCCAAAGATTCCAGTAACACAATTGAAGGTATGAGTTGCCTGCTTTAGGTATTATTCATAGTTACTATAATTATTATTCTTCGTGTTAGCAATGACATCAACATCTTGGTTAATATGATTCAGAAAGAAGAACATTAAAAAAAAAAAAATTAAAAAAAAAAAAAAAAAAATGACAAAGACAAAAAAAAAAAGTGTCTGTGACATAGGCGTGTAACTGCAGTTGAAAACATTCCAAAAATAATAATTACGTAGTACTTATTTAGTAAAAAGAAACATTAGAAAGGAGAACTTCAGAATAAATTTTATTTTAAATATATTTGTTTGTCTGTTTTCATTAATTTATCTGTTATTTATTCATTTATTGTTGCCATTCGGAACTACTAAAGAAATTACTGTAACCCTCAATACCAACTGAGATAACAAAAAATATTACAAACATAAAGAAAAAATTATGCTTGGATTTAGAAAATGAAAATAAATTTACATTTCTATTTTAAACTACTACAGACGCACTCTATTGATCAATGTTTAAGTTTATAAGTAATGTTTTCAGAAAAGAGGTTGGTTTGGTTTGTTTAATTACGGAGGAGGACTTTCTAAGGGAAACTAGTTGTCATACACGTTTCACATGGGTAAAACCACGAAAACGTGGATGAAGCCAGCCAGTTCGCAGGGATTGAAACTCCGGACTGTACTACTTGTTTATCGTTCGCCCGCTGGTGGGTGTTCGAAAATGAGAGTAATCAAAAATAATCTGAGAGAGATCATTAAACAGTCAAAAAATTTTAGTTCTCTTCGTGCCCTCGAAAAGCGTTCACATCACTATTAACACACTGAAAAAATTATTCGAGACAGATCATCGGCAATTGTAAACAAGGATTCAGATGCAATAAAATCAGAAATCATATCTTTAGCATACAAAGTAACATTCTAAATAAAAAAGAAATACATTACACTTGCTTTACTGTAATATTTTCTTTTGCTGCACTTTATATAAAGCTAATTATTATGTTACTGCAAATTAGTTTCAATGATATTTAAACATCTTAAATGCGATCATCAATACGTTTAGAGTTTTGTTGAATTGATAAACTGGATGTTAAAATATTGATATTAACTACAACAGCATTTTTCAAGCTTAAAATATTCTCCAGAAAATTTTGGCATCATTAAACTTTAGGAAACGATTAAAATAAATCAACTGGCATTAAAAACAATGAATGATTTATATTAAATGAACTTACCCGTCTATTATCACTCCCATGATTTAATCCGGAAGATTTTCCAGTAGGCATGGTCATTTTTTTCGCCCTCAGTGCGAATGACACCTGTGCACCGATTCCAAATCAAAACGGAACAGCAAACCGCAAGCAAGTGCGGTGAATTCAAAAAGACCGCAGTTTGACTCAGCTCAGTGGAACAACGAAGCGAAGAACCATTTCCGCGACGTCACGCGTATACTGGAAGTAGTTGTGAATAAACGGCAGCCGCGGAAGGGGAAAAAAATAGTAAAATGAACAGACGATCGGTTTGGAAGCTACCAATCAACTGGATCGCGAGTCACGATCGGAGCACGCGCGCTTTGGTTGGTTCTCGGCAACACGTGCCGTGGGGGAATAAAAAAACAGGGGGGAGGTCTCCTTTGGGAAAACCACGCCCCCCAACTCGTGAGTGAGCGGCGAAATCAAACGAGGAAACAGATTCCTTTCTGCTTGCTGCTCGAATTCGTCATTCCACAGTGACGAGGGAACTTCTTTTTTCCTCTTTGCAGAGGGGGACACAAGACCAAGAGGCTTTTGTGCCTCCGGCGAAGGTTATCTAGTTCTCGGTTGATCAATAATGAGCGATAACGTGAAACTGACTGCAGTATACCATTCCCCCCATTTGTGGGCACTGACGAAAATCGAAAAGAGATGAGCTGTTATTCGAGAAGCACGTGTTTATATCGATAAGCTAATGGGCTTAATTCTTTAAACTGACTAAAGGAAGTTAATGATAAGGCGTCGCTTTGTTTTGATGGAAATCTCAAGCTTTGTCTTGTAAGTTAGTCAACATCACTGGAAGGACGAACATAAGTGACTCAGGGTGTATGTTGTACCCTTTCCCGTTTTCTTTTAAAGAAATAATGATTTAAATATTATTCTATAAAAGAAAAAAAAAAAAAAAAGTTAAATGCAGTGAACGTTGCTTAAGAAAACCAGGCAGAGAAAAATAAAGTTCAGTGTGTCAGTTGGAAAATCAGTTTTCATTCTTTTCAAAATTCACTTACTTAGATGTAAATAGACATTTTGTAATATAAATAAATGATTTCATTTTATTGTGAGCAACAACAAATGACACTGGAGAAGGGGATATTAAACCAACATCATATTTTATTAATATCTGTTAACTGAAAAATAGCATCAGAAAAAAATGCAGATTTAATTTTATTGTATTATCTTGTCTGCGTTTGCATGACTCCAAACAAGCGTTTATAATTTGATGTGTATCCAAACGAAGAATAATAATGAATTATGCAGCCGGTGGCTCAAAAAACTTCGGAATTCATCATCAATTTTGGCTTAGAATTATAAATCTATTTAAGCGGCTTATCCTTGCTGCTACTCCACCTGCTGTTATTGAAACTAATTTCAAAAGTGGTAGTTTCAGTTTAGCGAGAAAGGTCCTTTCTTTCAAAGAATTCATATCCAACATTTCTTCTTTAAATGCGTAATCTTTACAAAGCATGCAAATAAAAATAAAGAATTGTGCTGTGTCACTTATATCTGTCGATTCATTAAATTGAAGAGAACCTGTATTAATCTCGTTATATACCTGTTCTTTTATATTTTCTCAATCCACCTTTTTACAGTATTTCGAAATAATTGTAGATATTTAACTGCAACAATAATTTCAGTCTTATTCTTAAAATCATTAGAAAGTGAATCTGACGTTTTCAAGAAAGTTTATTTTATTTTTTTTTTTTTTTTATAAAGTCATGATTTATTTTGAATGATGCAACAGGCATTGCGCATTATTGCAACACAAGCTTTGTAAAAACATATTGATGAGCTTTTCATTCAGCTTTACTGCCCGCTGCGCAGGGCCGGGGTTCGATCCCCGGGCTGCTTGACTCAGCCTTTCATCCCTTGAGTGAGTCGATAAAATGAGTACCAAGTTCGCTTGGGTACTAGACACTGGGGGGTCCTGCAACAAGCATACCACTTGCCAGGGCATATGCTGATGCATTCCGGAGCCCAAAGTCAAGAAAGTAGATTTCGGGGCACTGCACAGCCCGTGGCCCACTAGGGCTGTTGCGCCACTGATTTTTTGTTTTAGATTTTTGTTTTTTAATTTTAAATGCAACTTTAAGATCCAATGCTTCCCTCACCCTCGAGTCACTATTTTGTAGACAGACCGTTATGCAAGCAGATTGTCCACTATTTTGTGGGCAACATGTTTCCATAACTGGACAAAAACAATAGTCTCTCCAGATTACTCTTTTTTAGTAAAGGTTAGTATTGAAGCACTGCAAATTAGTTAACAACATTTATTAATTATCACTGTAATAAACTAATTTCTGTTCTTCAGGAAAATGTCGTCTTTGACATTTCTTGGTTTACAATTCATTTTAAAGGGTACTGTAATACAAAAGAAGTATGCAAGTAGACGGTTTTAATTTAAAACTTAAAATAAAAGTACCTGTATGTTTGCACCGCAGCAGCGTTAAAAAAACTGTTACCTTTCTAAAAACGTTAATACAATGTTACCATTACGATGAATACTTAAAAAGGAACATAGGAATGCCAATTGAAGAAGAGGTACAGAATTAAAAGAAAGCTCGCTGAGAAGCCAACAAGATGGCGAGTTTGACTGTTGGACGGCTCTTCCATTCACTCGACGGCTGCCTCCAATAGGTGAATTTTCAACCTTCAAGTGCAATACTAAAACAGCTATGATTGTTTGTTTCTTTGAGTCATGGCAAAGTGTCGTTTAGTGTTGAAATCGTCTCCTGTCGGCGATGATCGACAAAAAATCGCTTCTCAATTCTACTTGCTGACCATTTCTGCTTATACAAAGTAAATTTTACCGAAAGTTACCAGATACAGAAGCACTGAAATTTCAATATTATCCTTAAATAAAAATTGTTGCAACACACTTCAAGCTGTTTTGGTTGTTCCATGAAGCAAGTTGTCAGATGTTGATAGTATTCTGGAAGCGAAAACCTGATATTACTATGGTCAGATTTGCAACATTTTAACCATATTTAATTATTGTTATTACTGAGTCTTTTAAAAAATTTACATATCTAAACTCTTTTAAGAACGTTATTATATTAATATTCACGTTATTATATTAATAGTGTGATTCTGTAAATTCATCCATGGGACATGAGTTTAATAGTTTAAAAGTAATGACTGTTATAAAAGTTAAAATTTATTTTTGTTTATTATTATCGTAATTACCAGTTCTTGGAAAAGGCGGAGTAAATGTTTTGAGAATAAAGCACGCTAGTACTAAATGAAAAGATTAGCGCAAAATGCTGCTAAATCATAATTTAAGTTTAAGAGTTTAAAAGCATTAAACGATCCAACTATCAGTTACAAGACCCGAATTTTACCAAGTAAATTAATATATGAACTACATAAAAGTAAAAACGTAAGAAAAAAAAGGGACATTGATATGAAAGAAGAAATAAAAACTAAAATGCTAAAGCAACTATGGAACAAGAACGTAAACAACAGAAGTAATGGTGTAAAATATATTTATGCAAAAACTTTTTACGCTTTTGCTTTTATGTAGTTCATATATTAATTTAGTAAAAGTCTGGTCTTATTACTGATAGTTGAATCTTTTAATGCTTTTAAACTCTTAAACTTAAATTACTAGTTCTTATTATATAGTTTAGTTAGTATAGTTTAGTTATTATATAGTATTATATAGTATAGTTTAGTTAAATTACTAGTTCTTATTATATAGCTTTCCGGTTAGCAACCGGAAAGTCCGGAATTCCAATCCCGGAAACTGCTGATTTCTTCCTATTTCTAGCTCCGATAGTCACGTGTTCATTTCTAAATTTCTTTAGACATGTTCACGTGATTTCTAAATAAGGTCATGAAGAAACAAAATTTCCCCCTGATGGAAAAGAAACTCCTGCATATTTAAGAAATATATACACTGGTTTGCAAAAATTAAGGACGAAGTCGAAAAATTAGCATATCAGCTGAACGAAGAGGCAGAGCGGACAGAAAGACCAATCAGGAGATTAAGTAAGGTGATGTACGGTAGCACATGCGCAGATATGCAGGTAGACGTAATGGGGAAGTGTTTGAGTAGTATAAAGCATGTTGTCGGTGTAAGATCAGTATTTCTGGCAAAGAGATTGCACGCTGTATAGCAGTTGAAATCACACCGAGTTGCTGCCTCAGCGAGAAATGGCGAATAATCAATCTGTTAGACGACATCTGGATGCTTTTACCCGAGGTCGAATCATTGGAAAGTTGGAGGAAGGCCGCAGTGTGACAAGTGTGGCTGCAGAGTTCGGAATTGCTCACAGCATCGTTTTACGACTTTGGAGACAATTTCAAACTACAGGAACAGCTATCCGGGGGTTTAGTAGTGGTCGTCCACGAGGAACCACACCCGCAGATGGCCGGTATATTGCCTTACAGGCCAGAAGAAACAGGCGGAAGACAGCGGGAGAAATCGCTAGACACATGGCAGGCGACTGGACGACCGATATCGCGTTTTACCGTGACCAGAAGACTGCACGGTGGTGGTCTGTTTGCATGACGTCCTGTACGGTGTGTACCTCTAACGCCTGCCCATCGGAGAATGCGTTCTCTGTGGTGCCAGGAACACCGGAATTGGAGAGCCAATGAATGGGGACGAGTACTCTTTACAGATGAGAGTAGATTCAGTCTGAGTAGCGATTCTCATCGCATACTCATCTGGAGACAGCGGGGAAGCCGCAATCATTCCTCAAACATCGTTGAAAGGGACAGGTATGGAGGTGGCGGTGTTCTCGTTTGGGGAGGCATCATGCTTGGTAGTCGTACAGACCTTCACATCTTCGACGCAGGTTCAATCAACGGGACCCGTTATTGTAACGAGATTCTTCTTCCATATGTGCGTCTTTTTAGAGGAATGGCGCTATGGGTCCGCAGTTCCTTTTCATGGACGACTATGCACCATGTCATCGCACAGTAGCTGCCGAACAGCTCTTAGAGAGTGAGGATATTGAACGTATGGATTGGCCGGCACGATCTCCGGATCTCAATCCCATCGAGCATGTATGGGATTTTCTAGGCAGACGCTTGGCAGCTCGTACCTTACCACCAGTAACGATTCTGGAGCTTCAATTGGCGCTGCAAGACGAATGGGCAGCAATGCCTCAACAACTCATTGACACCCTCATTCTCAGCATGGGCAGACGCTGTGAAACCTGTCTAGCAGTCAGGGGAGATCATATCCCCTATTAAAGACCGGATGTTTCTTGCTGGACACCCATCACAGGGATGTTTCGGCCTTCAGTCGCATT